TTAGACACGAACACGTACTGCTGCTTGGTGGCAGCAATAGGTAATAGGATAGACTGTAAGTTTGATTGTCACTTTAAATTTGTAAAAAAAATCTGTAGTCATTATTGACCAACAAACTGGCATAATATGAGGAATGTAGTTGCTATTGTCATAATTGTACTTAATTGTCGTATGTGATCGGGCTCTCAACTCATCGAGCTTAAGATCAAGTACAGATCATCGATGACTACCGTATTTGTAGTTTCGCAAGTCCCGAGTATAAGAGCTCCTTTCGGAATACGATGAGTGATTTAGCCTTACTTATTAGTTATGAGCTATAGGGTCCTTGTAAAATGAAAACAATCGCATGTGAGAAATTGGATTATAGAATTAATGTGACGTCAATCGTTTATGCGACCTACGATTGACCGCTTCTGCATATCGGGTGACGTAGGTATTATTCATAGTGAATTTGATAGAGTTGCGGCATTATTGCATTTGTTTTGGGTTTTGAATACAATATACATATTATGTATTTATATTAGGATGTACCAATCTATATTATTTACCATCAGATGGACAGTTGGGTTAACGGATTCTGCTCGGTGAAGTCCGTTTTATGTTAAAAATATTTGCTTATTATAGTTCTTGTTTGTGCATTGTAATGTTTGTGCAGAATATATTTAAATAGTATTTATTTATCTTTATGAAATAATACATATTACATATTATTATGTCTGACGTTGCGACTTGCGATTGTCAATGCGCCTGTCAAACGTGATGTTTGAGGCAAATTCTCTACAACGAGGACAGCCCACATCCAGCACTGGATATTTAAGAGATGCTAAAGAAAGAGAAGATTCAGGCTGGTGTTCAAAGCCTCTCGACAAGTAAACAAAGCCTTTCTTGTGATACTTGATCCTTATGGGCCCTATACACGATCGGCCATGATGGACGAATACTAGCGATCACGATCGTGTGGTGGGCATGATCGCCTATAATCGCCTATGATCGGTTATGATCGAGCGTAATCGCCGCTGTGTCGGTTTTTCAGACAATCATCAAAGAAAGTTGGGCCATGATCGTGCGCGCGTCTACATGATCGTCGATGCTCTATAAACTTACCTTGTTTTATTTCAATGTATAGTTAACATCCACCTTTTTTGCTTACTTTTTTTTCACCATTCTTTTAAGACGTACATTTAAATAATAGTTATACATATAAACTAATTAAGTAAATACATACCGGCAGCTGCAACTGTTTCTATAACTGTTTATAATTACAGATAAGATTCTCACTACATAATGAAGTTTGGTTTGCAAATTCTCCTTTTCTTAGGTTTTTATATTAGAAAATCTAACTAAACACCTATTTTTGTATAATCTACCAATCTTTGGGTAGTATATTAGGATAGATTAAAGTTCAAAAATGCATTTTTGGTAGTATTATTATTTTCAATTTTCTCCTTCATTAATATTCAACACATCCTCAAATCTTTTGCTGGGTTTCTCCTGTAGGATTTGCTTACTGATTGAGTGTTAGCTAGTAACAGTTTACTATGGTAAAAGACTATCGCAGTTTAGTGAAATTCGCCCTAATAGTCACGTTTGACAAATGGATTAACACGATTTGCTAAGAAGTTGCTGTTTTCTGTTACGGGACCGAATATTCTATAGTCTTTACGTTGTTGCAAGGTGTGAATGACAGGTCACTAGAACGTAACTTCCGTGCGTTTACATGATACGACAAAATTATTAACAATGAGAAAATAACATTATATTTTTTTTATTGTGTGACGGCTATTATATTAACATTAACTGAAAAAAAATCTGACCTTATATCGGTTTTTTTTATAATTAATAGAATCAGGCGTTACTTTGCGGAAATCCATTATATAAAAGCTTTTACAAAAATTTACTTCTAAAAGTAAATTTTTGTAAAAGCTTTTATCGGTTTTTTTTACTGATAAAATCATAAAAGTTTAATTTATTTCACTTGCATGCGCAGTTACATACTATGCTTACTAGCGGTAATTTTTTTTTAATTACTAGAGATATATCTCTTAATCGAACGTAAAAACTGGCAACCGAATAAAATCGTAGCTTGAGTTTAACAAAAAATTTGTGAGATATATTAATAAGTATTTTAGAAAGTATGTTGCAATACCGTCATATTCATGTAGGTATGGGCGCAGAGCAATGTCCTTTAAGTAACTTACGATTCATGTACTACAGATTCCCCACAGATTCAGGTATAAACAAATAAATAGAAAAGGTGGTAAAATTAACAAAAAGAAATTTCATAATTTTATATTTATTTAGCCATTTTGTTGTTCTCGTTTAAAGTAAACGTCAGAGGTGAATGACTAAACCCACCATTTCACTTCACAATACAATTTTTTTGTTAGTTTTGGCAGTTTAAATAAACAAACGCAACATATAACAAAAATAAACTTAATTTAAGAAAACAATAAACTCAATAATTAAAAGTAAGTAATGATAACATAAACTCAATCAGAAATTACAAAACGGCTGATGGGTGCTTCAGGTGCGCTAGGCGCTAGCATAGATTATAGACATACTATAACTCACGTTAGCACTCGTACCCTGAAAAGGAGAAGGCGCAATCAATGCCGTACTGAAAATCACACGTCCCGGCAGCCATTATGTTTGTTTTAATATCAAGATAAATGTTGCCATTAACATCAAATGGAAGATGATTATTCTTTTAAATTAATACGCAGTATAATATGTAACTATAATTATTTGTATTACTCTGTAACTAAAATGAATAATACGCATTGTAATTTAAAAATAAATTGAATATGTTCAGGTTTTAATTTTTTTCTCGATAGCTAATCAATAATGTTTTTATTTGCTTTGTGTTTCGTTAATATCCTTTTTTATTAAATCGGATTAACATTGCTCCATCGCTAAACACGTTAAACTTTTAATCTGTCACCTGCACCGTGCTACAACGCAAAGTATAGACTTTGCGTATTAGCACGGTGCATCGTCTATCACCAAAACTTACTATACCTGTATAGGTATGGTAATTTTTGTTGATAGACGGATTGGGTGTAATATATATTTTTTCCGAATGTCGCTCTGTGATCTTCCCTCCCACTTCCGACAAACGGGTCCCGAGTCAGTAAAGGTACAATTCCGTAGCCGATCGCAAAAAGCAACAGCAGGCGACGTGTGGTCGCGACACGTCGCTGCAGTCATGATTCCGAACCCGACTGTTCGGGCGTTGACGTCACTACTGATTTGCGGTCGGGCGACATGTCGTCTGTCGCTCCGGCAAACGACGTGTCGCTAGCTACGGAAGGTATTTCATAGAACTGCATAGAAACCAGTAGTGTCGCGACGACACGTCGCCTGCTGCTGCTGTCTGTGGTCGGCTACGGAATGGTACCTTAACGCTAGCAACGCTTCCGTCTACACCTAACGTCATGACGTCTTTGGCGAACCTTCAGCGCGTGGATTATAATAAGTGAGACTCTACTTACCCATTAACCTAAGAGGAATAGAACGTAATCTCAAAGCGAAACGATTCCCCATCGATGAGAAGAAGCCTTTATATTAGTGTCTAGATGTTTTTTCCGTAAACGTATTATTTAATAATTTTCGATTTTTGGTCGAAACCGACATTTAGGTGCCTTCAGAGTCTTGGTGCTTGCAAGAAAATTTTATTCTGGAAGCTAATGGTTCATTAGCCTGTATATTGCATATTAGAGGGGAAAGCGAACTGATACAAGAAGAATGTGGGCATACAATGTTAGAAACTATGAGTTCGATGGCTCTAGGGTCTACTTGCCACGATCGATACAACAACGACCGCAGATTATCTTGACAATTCTGCAAATAAAGTGTCCTATTGAGCCGAGCGAGGGTCGGTGATTGGTCAATTATGAAGTGACGTACATGAAAGGAACGATTTGCGAAAGGATCAGACCCGCTTAAGAAAAAGTCAAACATTTTCGTTTTTTTTAATATAAAATAGGCTATAGTGGTAGAGCCATGCTGCAGCTATCTTAGTAGTATAGTTATAGCACGAATGGGTCGGCCGGGGAAGGACCACGTTCTCACAGTGCACGCTGCAGTGTTTCGTATGGTGAGTGTAGAGAACCGGAGACCCTTTTTACTGGACAAGAGGCATTCCATCTTAGTCCTCACGGGTGACAACGCATCTGCATTTTGAGTCTTTATTGAGGATAGATGTAGATATCTATGGGTCACAGTAACCACTTACCATCAGGTGGACTGTGTGCTCGTTTGTCACCCTATCCTGTAAAAGAAAAGCGTGTCAAGCGAGCACACTGTTCACCTGATGGTAAGTGGGTGCTATGGCACATAGACATCTACATTTATATTTATTAAGAATCAAAATTCGATGCGTTGTCACCCCTGAAAACTAAAATGGAATATCTCCTTTCCAGTAAAAAGAGTCTCCAGTTCTTTACACTCGACATTCGAAACACAACCACATTTAGTTGCTGTTTTATGCTTGTATTATGTAAGAGCGTGGTCCTTCTTCAATCGAGGCGACCCATCCGTGCTGCAACCATATCTTAGCTGCAGCATGGCTCTACCGCGTTTTGTGGACTGTTTATAAATATTTCTCGAACACCCCAATATACAAAATGAACCCCAATGAAAAATGAACAATGCGTCCACTTGATGATAAGTGACTACTGCAGCCCTAGGGCACCTTTAAGCAACGTCGAGTAAAGATAGCCACAGATGCGTTGTCGTTCTTAAGAATTAAAGTAAATGCCACACAGCCTGCAACAACACTGGCTGTCTTACCCTTCATGTCGAAACCCATCAGTGTAACATAGCTAACAACCAAGTTAGGCTCGTATAGTAGAAAGGCAACCCTAAAAAGTTATATGTAAAACGATAAAAAATTATATGGCTTTTAGGCTTCAAGCCTTCGTTTTTAATGTTCTCTGTTCTTTCAGCTTATTTCTAAATTTCATATGTGTATCTATTTCCGACAAATAATTGCATTTTTTTTGTTTGTTTCCTGTGGGGCGAACGCGAGCGCGGCGCCGGCGTACGAGATGACGGCGGCGGCGGGCGCGGGCGGCGTGTACGATGGCGGGCTGCTGGTCGCTGCCCACGCGCCCGCCCAGCCGCCCGCGCCGCTCTCGCACGCGCACCACCATCACCACGACCCGCGCAAGAGGAAGAGCCAGCACTAGTGAGAAACCTTGTTATACTCTCAAGTGCAAAGTACACCGAATATTTTATGTAAAGTGTTAGTTGTAATCTATGTCTATACATACATATACTATTTATATTATATGTACATTTATATGATACTAACTTTTGACCGCGACTTCGTCCGCGTAGAAGAAAATAGTTCTAATAGTATTTTTAATTGGTTTTTTCTTTATTTATTTTGTTATAAGTTATAAATTATTATGTTAAAAATGTTTGAATACTTATAAAATATAACAATCTATATTATAGTGTAGGGATTTAAAGGTTAAAAAGTTTAAAAGCTATTGGTAAATCCAATTGTGCATACCTTAAGCGCATTAAAATTTTACATATAATATGATTACACGTATTTTTTTAAAGTACTTTAATTATATACAAGTTTTCACTAAAAACCTCCGATAATTTTATGTAAATTTCAATTTAAAAAAAACTTTGCAAATCCAAAATTACACGACTCATAAGATCGTGAAAAAATAAAAATAAAACATAAGTTCCAGTAGCAGTCACCGAAGTACACCTTTAAGTCACTCCATCAAGTCCGGAGGTAAGGTCTATTAATAACTAACAATACGAGGCCAAGCTCGTCACACTTAGTGTTAACTCTTCGAGGAGTTCCAGTAGCATTCACTGAAGTACACCGTCAGGTCACTCTATCAAGTCTGGAGATAAGGTCTCATTATAACTAACGGCTCCGTGGCGCAGTAGCTTAGCAATGAGTTGTTGTGTTGGGGGCCGCGGGTTTGAATCCCGCACGGAACAAGTATTTGTATGACCTACAAATAATTGTTCCGGGTCTGGATGTTTGTGCTCGTGCAATTTATGTTTGTAAACTGCCTCCACGACATAGAAGAAAATCCTAGTGTGTGGGTAACGTTTTAATAATAAATAAAAAATAGCTAACAAAACAAGGCCAAACGGCTAACCTAGTTCTACTCTTCGAGGAGTTCCAGTAGCATTCATCGAAGTACACCTTTAGGTCACAGGCACAGTTAATACTTTAATTGATATATAAATGTCGACTAAAGTCAAGTAAAAATGTCAGTCTAGTTCAGATGTATCCATACCGGCGACCAGCGTCAAAGGTGCTCACATCTAATACTGCGATTGTCAACCCGCCTGCCAACCGGGACGATTAAGGCAAAAGCTACCCTACAACGGGATATACCCATGTCTAGATATTAATATGCTAAGTGGTGTTGTACAGTTGATTACACTTAGACAATAAGAACCGACATAATCGTATGTTACCGAGAGAAATTTTTTTGTTTAAAAAAATGACTCCAACGTTACACCTGATTATCGGTCATTTAATGTAAAGTTGAGATACATTAGGAAATTAAAAATTAAACAAATTAAGACTAGGCTCAGTAGTCGTAGTTCAAATTCTACTCTTCGAGGAGTTCCAGTAGCATTCACCGAAGTGCACCTTCAGGTCACGCTATCAAGTCCGCAGGTAAGGTCTCATCATAACTAACAAAACGAAGCCAAACTCAGCACACCTAGTTCTACTCTTCGAGGAGTTCCAGTAGCATTCACCGAAGTGCGCTACTAGGCAAGTGCCTAGTTTGCATTAAGGATAATCCGAAACTGTCCAGAGGTAAGGTCTCATCATAACTAACAAAACGAGGCCAAACTTGGTACATCACCTAGTTCTACTCTTCGAGTAGTTTCAGTAGCATTCGCCAAAGTACACCTTCAGGTCACTCCGTTAAGTCCGGGGGTAAGGGCTCGTCATAACTAACATAACGAGCACAATCTCGGCACACCTAGTTCTACTCATCGAGGAGTTCCAGGAGCAGATACCGAAGTATACCTTCAGGTTACTCCATAAAGTCCAAGACGTTTTAGTATATTTGTATATAAATCCTACGTACGAGCTAAATCCTATGTACTTTTAACGAAACAAAATATAAATCTGTGATTATAAAAATAATAACCTTGGTCAAGTACCTATGTATCAAAGAACAATGGCAGACTTTCATACATAAAATTAGTTGAGAATGAATGGTAGCGTCTATATATCAAAAATATCTTAAAATGTTAAGCGTCACTGCCTTAATAACTCTGTCAAAGAATTTTGTCCTGAGAAGGCGTCAAAAAAAAGATATTTAGATTTGAACCTTTTTAGGTTATGTCTTATGTCACTTGGAAAAAGTCATGCGTCCTGTGCTTGTTTGATGTTAGCTTAATACATTCTGACATAATGTGCCCTAACTACATAATTGAGAGTTTTTAGATTATTGTATCTCTATTATATATTTGCATACTATAAATGTATATTTCTGGCATGGCTCCAGGGCCTTTGTGACAGTCTCAGAAGGGCTAGAACCTAGAGCCGTAAAGCCAGTAAAAAAACATTGACATTTTGTTTTAGCTAGTGTTGCCATAGCATTAAATGGAATTGTTACATATTACTATGATTGAGATAATGTATTATTGTAGGAAGTTCTTTGTAAGAGACTTATTTTCAACCATATCACTTTTATTACTGATAGTATAGTTATTACTAATAATAACTTAATATAAACATATTTTGTGTTTGTGTATTGTGTTGGTAGTCTTACAAAGTGTGTACGAAAATAGTATGAATATTACTATAATGACAACACTTGAATAGAGTAAAATGATTTAAGTCATTTCATATTCCCAAAAATGTTTTTTTTTTTCTGTGGCTTTAATTACAATACATTTTTATTTGAAAAATCATAGAAAAATAATAGAACTCATTTTATATATAACTTATTTCTAGAAGCAATAATTTTAGTCAACTATTTTTCTGCCATTGCCCTTTGGTTTTTGGAATATTTTGTATTTCTATAGCGATCGATATTTTTCCTGCGTTTTGCCGTTGCTGTTAGCCAACGATACAGTAATCCACTAACTCCGAGCCCGAAGAAAATGAATACAAGGCTGCTCAAAACACCGAAAATTTCGGGATTCATCAGCCGAAAAATTTAATTATAACTAAACAAAACAAAATTAAACTGCCATTTACATTCCATGGCTTGCCACATGATAGATGAAGAGATTAAAAAATAGATTGAGTTAAACAATTGATATTTTCAAAAGTTATCGTGTTAAGCCATGAAAACAACTTTTTTTTAACAGTCATTTATCTTTCTGACAAGGTGCTTTTTACACCATTTATAATATGTTCAATATGATCGTTAGATACCATTTCATGCGACAAAACGTTAGAATCTTGATTTTTAGGCGCTAGTAGAACATACCTACGCGCTTTGCGCTTAAGGCATGCAATAGACATGAAAATAAAATAAAATTTTGTTATATTTTATGAACACGAAGCTCGGCTTTTGATTTTACTGTTGGCCTAAGTGAGTGGCTCTGTACACTTCAAGCTGTTTGCGTCGATATTTACATGCAGTCTGCTTATGTGCTTCAGGGTGTTCCCGCTGATAATCAACGACTGAACTTTTTTTTTCTGATAAACAGCTGCATGTTTACGATGATTAGAAAGTTTAGTTTGATTATATTTTTTTTTCTTGCTCCCTTAAATTGCAATTTTCTGACCACATTGGTAACGTTACTTCGCCTTATTTTTAAATATAAAAATAAACACAGACAAATTTATAAATATAAGAAAGATGCGAAAAATAATACACACTAAACTTCTAAGACAAACCACTATCTACTTAAATATCTATATTAAAACAAAAAGAAAACTATATTATTATACACAACAAATCAAACAGAGATTTTTGCAATTAAAACTAAAAACCTAAGTATATTATAAACTAAGAAATAAAACTCAAAGTGTCTTATTTTTTTTTTATAGGATAAGGGTGACAAACGAGCACACAGTCCACCTGATGGTAAGTGGTTGCTGCGGCCCATAGACATCTACATCTATCCTCTGTTACAAATCAAAATGTAGATGCGTTGTCACCCGTGAGGACTAAGATGGAATGCCTCATTTCCAGTAAAAAGGGCCTCCGGCCACCTGCACTCACCAAGCGAAACGCAGAGGTAAACCTCTACTTCACGCTGGTTTTCTGTGAGGTCGTGGTACTACCCCGGTTCGAGCCGGCCCATCCGTGCGACAGCAAAAGCTGCCGCGTGGCTCTACCACTGTTACTGGTATTTAATTATTATAACAACAAATAAAAAAGAAATTAAATTAACTAGACTCAAAATATTATAATAGTGAAATAGTGAAAATGAATTTCCATACAAATTATATAGCAATCGCAAATATCTGCTAAGTAGGTAATCTAAGAGACTTCTAAGGAATTTTCGAAGGAAAATCAAGGTATAAGGCATAGACAGAATATACTGGCGTATTAGACGACCTAACTTTTCTACTGATTTTTGTAGTCAAAAGTGGTTTTGACTGGTTATGAGTTTTGACTGTGATATATACAATGAGGAGCGGCGTCAAAGGCGCAAGACCTCTAGTAACTGCGTTAGCGAACGTTAAATGCAAATTCTCCCTACAACGCCTAACAGCTTGAAAATGTGTAACCAATTTTAATTTTTTATCGTGTGTGTTAGCTATTTTTACATTTAACTTACAAGGACTGTCGAAAAATTATTGTTAATGAAGCGGTAAAAAGATTTAAAAATGGTTTAGAGCACGAAACTGAGTAACTTCAAAAATTTACTGAATCTTTTCCTTGGTATTTCTAAAATAATTAAAAAAATATTCAAATAACATGTTCCCGGGAATAAGCTACACCTTAAGCAAGCCTTTTGTTTGATTTTAATTCAAAATGTACAAAGTCCCAATAATGTGAATAGGTGAGTCTACCGATAACATTAAACAATTTGCCCCAAGAATCAGATCGGAAAGTTGTATTAACCTTTGGAAAAAAATTTACTGCCATGGACAGTTTCCCTGGAATTTTCTTTTTAACATAACGTTAATCGACTAGCTATTTATACTTTATATATTTTATAAAATGTTTTGCTTTTGAAATAAAAAAACGGGTCACGAAGTATATAATGTCTGGTTAGTTTTCATATGACTATTACTTTTAATAATTATAAACATTTAATAATTAATAATTAAATACATTATAGAAATTAATTTGAACATTCGACTTAAATATGATTCAAACCTAATATTGAAGTAAGGAATCTTGTAGGAATGAGTTAAACAAGATTGCTCTGTTTAAAGGCCAATATGTTTATTAGGCTACTCTCTCATTCATCTGTCCCTAAAAATAATAAACTGCTGATATGATGACAATCATATCAGCATCCTCTGTTAAGGCAGCCTCCGCTGTCAAAGCAGCCTCCTATTTCACACTTTATATTATACCCATTCTACCAAATGTATGTAGTCTTCGCTATCTATCCAAATCATACATTCTTATCATTAAATTCTTACATTAAAAAAATGAAACAGAGACCAAATCTTACCATCGTCACTGTCTGATAAGTAGAAATCCAGTTCCATAGTAGTAAAAAATAAAGTAAAGTAATAAAAAATCTCTCTTTCTGGCAGATAGCACGTAGACGCGTCTCAGTAGGGAAACGAAACAACGGTCTCTAGTTATTCAAGAGAGCGATGTCGCCTTTCGTGAAGAACAAGACCACCGCATTTCTGTTCCACGCCTCCGGTGTAGTGCCACCATGGAGGACGGAATTAAAGAGCTTCTGAAGCACTTCAAGTACCGGTTTTCCACCCGCTTTGAGAAGCTTCGCTGTAATTCCATCCTCGCCTGGGGCATTGCCGCTTTTAAGGTGCTGGAGAGTCATTCTAATCTCGCTCAGACGTCAGGAATATCATCGAAATAGTGTTGGATAAGACTTGCTCTTCGATCGTTACTTGCGTGTGGCTCCAACGATGATGTGTACAGCTGCCCATAGAACCTCTCAATCTCACTCAAAATCTCAGGTGTCCCAGAAACGACGCTGCCTGGCTCTTTCAGGCAGACAGATCTCTAGCAAAGGCTTTAGAGCCCTGTTTCCGCTCGATTGCTTCTTCAATACGAAGAGTATTAAAGTTGGGCATGTCCCGCCGCATGCATTTGGAAATCTGTCTGTTCAGTTGCCTGTATGCTATCAAATCTAGTGAAGACTACCACCTTCACCAGGGAACATCCGCTCTGATTGGTTAATTTAAAAAAGTACAACAATAAATAATCCTAAATTCTTAGTAATTTTCTGGCTAAATTAATATTAATGAAATTAACATAAAACATTGGATTTGATATTATTTAAACTATTTCATCCACTATGAATAAATTATAGTTTTATTCATTCCGGTATATATTATATAAAATACCGTTTATTGAACACAATATATAAACAACGAGATACACCAGACACCACATTATTTTTATTCTATAGTTCAATTTTAAATGGCTTTTTGCGAAAATACTCCATCTCCTGCCTACGCTCGCAAATAACTCAATCAACTATGATTGGATTATTTGCGGACGTAGGTAAACGTGGACGTATACTCAAAAATATTGAAAATGACAACACAGAACACAGAAAACACCTGAAATATGTTGGAGTTTATGGTAGCTCGTGTGATTTATTTTTTTCTACAGTTTTAATGTATCCTTTATGGTTTTGTGGCAGAAGTAATGTTTCGGTAATACACATATCACGTCAATGAAAATTAGCAAAAATTATAAAAAAAGTCATAAAAAGTTTGTCGGTACATACCTTGAAGTGCGTGCTCGGTCTTCCGTCTTAACTACTCTCCGTGCACTGAAGATGACATATGCAAAAAATTTATAGGTTTGGGGTGTAATTCCTACACTTGATGATAGATGATATAAATGATATAAAGTTTGCTATGATATGATATATCACGTATTCCAGAATTAAACGTCAAGCCGGAAACGGGGAATGGGCCAAGTCGTGACAGTTATTAGATAAATATATAAAAAAATCTCGGTCATGTAGCTTTGAAATTATAAGGTTTCAAAAATAAATCTCAAAAGCTAACGTCCTGTGATGATCTGTCCTGTCCTGTGACTACAAATATATTACCTTTTTGATTTTCAGGCGATTTTGTCGAACGATGTTGCAGAGGCATAGTACAGTTTTTCTTTACAGTACAGTCGGTTAAAGTTGGGTGTTGTAATAATTTTTGAATTCAATGTTGGGCTTAAAATCTAACAATTTATTTAAAACTGAGGCAGTTATGTTTTAACTTTTAACTGTAATTGATAGAAGGTTTATTAATGGTTACATCATAGAAAAAAAACTGACGAAAAGTAAATATTTGTAGTCATAGAACTTGAAAGATCATCACAGGATGTCAGTTTTGAAGATTAATTTTTGAATCCTTTAATTAGAAAAGTACACGACCAAGATTTTCTTTAAATTTATCTAATAACTGTCACGTTTTGGCCTATTTCCCGTTTCCGGATTGACGTAGATTTCTGGGACAGCCTGTAGATTTGATGTGATATTAGTATGATAAGGAAAACAAACGTACAATAGGAATTTCGAGACGCGAAGAGGACTAACTTTCTAGAAATAACTGCGTCCGGAATTACCCTGTATCCGTAATCACCCCACTCTTCCCTAAATGTGCCAACTTCAATGTCTATTAATTTCAAACAGATGTACCAAGCGTTAATCATACGCCTAATAGTATGTGGTCAAACAGTCGCACAGAGTAGTGATTGTCTTACTACTATTTCAAATTTTCCTTTTTGAATAGTCTGTGAAGTGTTGTTATTCATGACAAAAACATTTTATTTTATAATATTTGTGTTATAATTTGCAGTTTAAATACAATTTGCTTAATATTCAAATTTAAAAATTTTATGAATCACGATCAAATTTCAACCACTAGGCGAATAGTGGATGATGAACTGATTAATGACTGATCTACATATTCATAAAATCGCAAAATGCTTATTATTTCGAATGGATTAGTCGACGTCGATCGAGCTGTTTGATTATTCGATAACCTGCCCTGACCCACCGACCACCCCTATTGTCCTTCTCTCAATACATTTTGAAAAACACTGATGATGAGCCCACAACTACATCGATTAATTGTCGATCGATAATTTAACAACGTGTTATCGATCAGTATCCGCCGATAAAGCTACGCCGCCAGCTAAAGCTATCACACCAATCGATCGACATCGATCGACGTCGAGCAATGGGTATCGGTCGACGATCGATAGATTGGTATGGTAACACCCTTATAGGTATTATATAATCTTAAGCTATAACGAATTGCCACTGTTTATTCTAAAAGTATCGAGTGTATGCGGCTTGAGAGAATCCATATCCATTTGGCCTATCATAAGAATAAAACTTCTGACAGATGTTAACGGCAGGAGAAAAACAGTTAGACCGGTCACAGCACGCACACTCGAAGGTGCAAGATATCTGGTACTGCGATGGTATCAACCTGCCAAGCGTGACGTTTAAGGCAAAATACTCTTAAAAATCGAAGATAACCCTTGTCGGTCACTGGACATTTACGAGCTGATGATGAAGAAGAAGAAGAATCCAAACTAACTTTCATCACTCAGATATCTGCATTTCAATATTTAAGAAGTTGTTTTACATATAATATTAAATACTAGCGACCCGCCCCCTCTCCGCCTAGATAGGATCTATTATAGTGGCGTTATTTAGTTTTGAGATAATTAAAGAACATTTACTCGTATTTAATCAAATTTTGTTCTCTATCTGTTCGTAAAGTTTCATCACAATCGATTCAGTTATTTGGGTGATTAGCCCAAAAGACACATTTGAACAATGGTTATATCTTAATATCATGCATATAACTTAATAGAATCCAGTTTTTTTTTTTTCAATATTACAGACAACCACTTCATTTACCTTTGTATGTGTAGATTATTAGGTATATGTTGGTACGATTTATGATTGCTTAGTTTTTAGCTTATGAAATATTTTCTAGTTGCCCGGAGAGCTACGAAATGCCGCATTGTGAAACGCCGCAGGCCTCTGCGTCGACTCCATCGGTTGGAGACCCCGCCTGCGCGACAAGAAAAAGAAAACCATCCTCTTAGTAAGTATTACATCGACTCTCTACATAAAACGGCTCCGTGGCGCAGTGGCTTAGCAATGAATTGTTGCGCTGGGGGGCGTGGGTTTGAATCCCGCACGGAACTAGTATTTGTATGGCCTACAAATAATTTGTTCCGAGTCTGGATGTTTGTCCTCGTGCAATTTATGTTTGTAAACTGCCTCTACGATACAGGAGAAAATCCTAGTGTGGGGGTAACGTTTAAAAAAACGCTTACGCTTATGCCTTAGAACAAACCCAAGCTAGTATTTTTTAAAATTGATGAATTAATTTTTATTCACTCTACGGCCGGTTAGTAATTCATCAACAGAACAATGCATACGGTTTTCAACGTCCAAAAAATTAAGATTTACGTTTATCACCAAGTTTATACTTTTTACTAAACAAAGTCAAGAATAAAAAGAGTTATTATAATATTACTAAATACATAGTTGATAATAAACCCGTGGAATGAGGTGATCGCTGCCAAAATATATCTAAAATAATTTTTACAATTATTTGTACACCTTACTTCATTGTTCAGTTGATTGCTAGTTGTGATGGTAAATGGCCCGCGTGTAATTTAGAGTTTTAATTATGTTGCGCGGATCCCTAATTCTTTTTTTTTTTCTAGAATATAAGTAGCCTAAGTTACTCCTTATAACATCAGCTATCTGCCAGTGAAAGTCCCGTCGAAATCGATCCAGTTGTTTCGGAGATTAGCCGGAACAAGCAGACTGACAGACAAAAATTTAAAAAATTGTGTTTTTGTTATAATTACCGTATATATGTATACTTTCATATGCGTTTAGTAAAAAGCTGTTGTCTTGATATTACAAAAAGACACTTCAATTTTATTTATTTGTATAGATTATTTATTGGTAACTCCAATGAGCAAATCTTAATTTTATCAATCCAGAATGCATCGCTAACTTGCGCATGCGCATCTGACTGCGCAAGATAATTAAATTATATATAATAATTAATATGTCATTAAAACTAAAATAAATTCGTCATCATAATCATCATTATTACAGCCCTTCACAAGTTCATTGAAGAGCATAGGCCTCCCCAAAGGAAGCACGCTCCTGAGCCACCTGCATACATTGATTTCCTGCATCTCTCACCAGGTCGTCATTGTATCTGCGATTCTGCCACTCAAGAAACATTTCTATACCACCAGTTGGCGAATCAAGCTATATGGCCGGCCCATTGTCACTCTAGCCTACTGATCCGTTGGGCTATGTCGGTTGCTTTGGTTCTAGTGCGGCTTTCTCTACGTGGTAGAGCCATGCTGCAGTTATATTAGTAGTATAGTTGTAGCACGAATGGGTCGGCTCGACCGGGGAAGGACCACGCTCTCACAGAATACCTGCGTAAAATACCAGCTTAACACTGCTGTGTTTCATATGTTGAGTGTAGAGAACCGGAGACCCTTTTTACTGGAAAAGAGGCATTCCGTCTCCGTCCTCACGGGTCACAACGCGTCTGCATTTTGATTCGCAAACGAGGATAAATGTAGATATCTATGGGCCACAGTAACCACTTACCATCACACGGTGGACTGTGTGCTCGTTTGTCACCCTATCCTATAAAAAAAATTATGCATATTCCTGTGAGAGGGTGTTTTTTTCCCGGTTGAGCTGACCCATTCGTGCTACGATCGTAATATAGTTACTCTACCACGTAAAAAATAAAAATTTAGAGACAGTTGCCACGCTTGGTAGGTGGTGGGCTACCGTAGTTTTTTTTTTTTGAGTTGTTATCAGCAAGATGATGTCACTCATCTCCTGTTTCAGTTTCCCCCTGTCACCTCTTAGGACGCCCACGGGACGATATAGGGGATTTTTTTTCGCCACTACACGGTAATACACGCATATATTCTCTAGAACACTCTTTTTTCGTGTGTCCGAAAACCATCGAAAAAGAAAAAAACAGATTAGTAATTTCACGTGAAATATTTTATAATCCTGTGGATTTCCATAAAATATTAGAAACTAAGGTAAGTCCATAGACTAGGTGTCAAGTTTTACAATAAGAATAAACATCTAACAGAAGAATATTAAATTAGCAAATTAGGCTTTAAGAAAGAAAATTTAATTATAACTCTACACTAATCCTAAATTTATTTTTACGCGACTTTAAACGTAACGAAAATGTTCTTGTGAGCCCAAAATAAATATTTGAGGATAAATATGTCAGCCTCATACTACCCACAGATACAAGTTGTCCAGTTTTCTACGTATCATTGAGTGTCCTTAGTACTTTAAGTGTAGTTCTCAAATTCTAATAGTATTGACATATTCACCTCAAGAGGTAGGCAAAAGTATGCTAATAACACTTTTTAAATGTTCCCGTAATATTTTGGTCTCAGTGAACCTATTTGCCCAGTATTTCCATTCAGATCTTTTTAAAACCACGATCGACTTCCGTACTTCCCATTATATGACGTATACGTATAGACGAAATATTGCACAAACTTTTTTGCTATTAACTATACACAAACTACAAAAGCAATAAAAAGATTCCTAAACTTTTTTCCTTAATAAACAAATATGTTATAAAAAATAGTGTTTTTTATTACTACAGCCTATCAAAGCCATAGATTGCCTTAAGAGGATATTTGCCATAGTTGCGACGTTTGGCAAGCGGGTTGGCAACCGCTGTCTTTTTATTTTAGTCCTTATTAGGAAGACGCTGATCTTCTGATTCGTTTCCCACTGTCGCTTCTTACGACACCCACGGGATGATTTGGGGATAGTAGTGGATATTTCTTACACCACTATAGTTTATTGACGCCAAACCAGTAAAATTTCCTTAAACAAATAATATACCACAGTCGACCACTCGTATGAACTACCCTTTTCGCGTTCGATCATAGCAATAATGGACCAATGATACCAATTAACTGGTCAGTGCGGACGACGCCTAAGGCTGTCAGGGCTGTCTGTCAAATTACCGGATTGCAAGTGGGGGAAGACGGGAAATAAGCGATGAGTTTTAAACTAAGCCGACGTGTTTATCTACACCTACAGTGTGCTGTTGATAGTTTTCAATCTAATTTCATTTTTCGCTTTGATTGTTATATTAGAATGATTGTGAAGTATTTTTTTTTAATAATTTACGTTTGGTAATGTGGTATTTTACGCGATATTGCGGTCTAGAAACTAGAAATTGCTAAAACTTTCTTCTTTAACTTTACATATTATTCACAAATAATAATATATATATATATATGGATGTTAGACATCCCAAATCAAGGATGTAAAAAAAATTATTTATAAGTTTGTTATTTTAAATATTATTCCTTATGCAGTTCCGTTATATTATATAAAACATTCTAACGACAATTTTTACTAATGACAATTCTTACTAAAATCCGATGGCCTGAGGAGGACTTGGAAGATTTAAAGATTTATGGCCAATAAGTGTGCTATCTTTATTGTCTAAAGTTTGAAAAGAATTGTAGGTTATAAGTTAAGTAAATAATATAAATATGTACAAGGTATTTCGAGTTAAATGTTGTATTATGTATTCAGAGAATATTAGTCGTGGTATCGTTAACACCTAGTTAATTAAAAGAACTGTCTTTCTTGATGTTATTGAAGATTTCATATTTTAACCAGTCTTGAGGTAAGTTTCAATTTTAATACTCCTGGATTATTCATATCCGTTTGATTATATAAATGGGACAATACTTATATCAAATTAATGTTTTGATATTTCTTATTGTATCTGCACACAACCGCGGCCCCACCAGCGCCGGCCGTCCCATGGCAGCCCCTCCTCGGGGAGGACTACTCCTCGCCACCTTCCTTCTCAGTTAAGGCGCACCAGGAACACAAAGCACGTCTTCGTCCACGGCCTCTTACTGCTACTGCGAAACGGATTCCCCGGGTCCGATACGCGGAAGCCATGGGGTCAGCAAACACGAGCACTTAAATTCACTAGCTTTCCCGACCCCAGCCTATAGCTCCGCCGCCAATCACGATTCGGCTGCCGAGGATAGGGAGAGAAGCGCCTCGCAATACCGACACTTATCTCCCCGCGCAGTCCCATCACCACCGCATCATCGGTGCGGCCCCGTCAGAGTCGCAGACCCGTCAGAGCGAGTGGTGCATCGCCATACCAGCACTCCTCTCCCTCCGCGATTCCACCTCGGCTGCAGCGGTAGCGGGAGAGGGCATCCCTCTCGCCGCAGCCCGCCGAAGTGGGCTTGCGAAGCCCACTCGGATATTGTTATATGTTTTTGTTTGATGTTATCAAATATGTTTTTGTTTGATGATGACGGTCTAAGAACATTTACTACCACATATCGTCCGTGGATATAGTAAGAGGCGATAGAGGAAAACAAACGAGGAGATGGGCAGCAGCGTTTTTCTAATAACAATTTAAAAATAAAAATAAATGTGGATGCCAACCCGCCTGCCAAGCGTGGAACTAAGGCAAATATCCAACCCTATAAGACAAGGTATGGTGGAGGCCTAAGTTCAGCAGTAGATTTAACGGTGGTTATCAAACTAAAAAAAACGGGTTATCGATAATACAAATAATTTACTTGACGATATCACTTTATAATTACAGTGTTAGCTTAAATTCAATGGTTTCCTACAAGTGTAAATATAGCTAATGAAATATTAATGTCGTTTTATTGGTTCCGTTGCTTTTAAAACTGTTTTTTTTTTTAACTTGGATTATCTAAGTTAAAAAGAACATAAATCCTTTTTTTCCAAAAAAAACAGTATAGTTGACAACCCTAAAACTGCTAACGGTTGCCAAGAAACGGGCCGGTGCCTCCCTTTGCTCGAAGCGAGCCACCTGCCAACTCTATTCCCTCTATCACAAACAAATCATACATAATGATATAGAGACTTTATTCATCCCTTTTCCTCATTTTAATGCATTTTCAATATCTTTAATTGTACTTGCCTTTTCGAAAATATTCACTAACTCGATTAAATATAGACTTCACTTCATTGAAGTAGTGATGCTTCTTTTCAGTA